GTTGAAAATTTCATGTCATTAGCACCTCTAGTAATATATTTACTGAGAAAAATGGTGACGTGTTCAATACTTATTTTACCCACTGTACATTTGACTGTCTCCACCTGGAGTTTGTACCTTTTTTACAAAAATACCCCTTTTATATAGCAACAGAGTGATTCTGTGTTATCCATACCTGTACCAATGAAGAGCATGCTGTACGCTCGCTGGTCCAGGGCGCTGACCCGGTCCACCGCCAGCTTGGTGAAGTTGATGCCCTTGGTGAGCAGCAGGGGGCGACCTGAAGCCTTGTCCTCCATCAGCGGGTGTTTCTTGGCAAAGTTGAGTGTGGCGTCAGGCAGCTGCAGGGAGCTGTTGTAACTGTTCTCCCTGTCTGAGTTTGTTATACACTGCAGCGCAGAGACAGGACGGACAGACCGAGGAGGGAAACAGAGCACGGAACAGAACGGGGRAAAAGTACAAAGAGGACGAACGGAAAGAAGAAGGAAGAAGGAAACTTCTTAGTTGGCGCTGGCACAGGTTGGCAAGGTTAGTTGGCTTGGAGGTGACTGTCCTCTGCTCCACTTTTCCCTTCACCCCTTCCCTTCCTTTCCTTTTTTAAATGTCCTGGATCATTACGTCCTTCATTTTTTTAACAACATGCCAGCTTCCCTCTGCCACCTCCACACTGCTCCTCATCACCTACAGCTTCCMTCCATTCCTCTCTCATTACTGCTCCATCCCACCTCTGCCCTTRCATCTCTTCCATTATAATTCTATTTTCCTGCTTTTTGACAAAGTCTGGAAACTGCATTTATCCAACGTCACGAGTGCTGACTTCTGAGTCTCTTACCGAWCCGGGCCGTGGGCTGGGAACAGGACCCGTGTAGCGACCCCATCTCTGCGACGCCTCCCTGTACTCCTTGTAGGACCCTTCAAACACCTTTTTCACATCCCCAATCTGGTACTGGCACACGGCCGACACGTCCACATCTCCCCTGAAACATGGCAGCAAGGTAGACCGTCAGTGACAATAGCGTGGATAAGTGAGGGATGAACTAAACAGCAGAAAAAYGTAAGRAAATTTGTGCTTGRGAGAYTATCTCTTTGTTGTAACAATGCTTCTTGGTAGCAGGGGCGGAGCCAGGGGGTGGCCATGGYCACCACAGACAAATATTTGGCCACCCCTTTGGTCACCCGGAAACAACCTTTAGGGGTGTAATAATCCTCCTGAACAGTTGGTGGCAGTGTTAAACAGTTTGAAACATCACCAAGACAAGGAAGTGATGGTTTTCTTTATATACAGAACATTTGCTTATGTAATTTGACTTATTATCTGTCACTGAAATAATAATTAAATCAAGTGTTTATTTACTTAGGTAAAAGTATGTTTAATAACCTGGTAAAATACACCAGAATGCAGGAAATGGAATCTATTTTGTTCAAAGTTTTCTGGGGGAGGACCCCCAGACACCCCAATAGTGTGTCCCCTGACTTTTAAAATGGCTCTGACACTTGTGTTTATAAAGTAATCACTGTTTGTATAAGGACATAAGGACATGACCAAAACACAAAAAWTTGCATAAACTTTCAAGTAAAAAATGATGTAATTTTCCTGGCCACCCCTGTGTGAGTAGTGGTCCCAGTCTGGCCACCCCTGAGAAAAATGTCTGGCTCCACCACTGCTTGGTAGTAACCTAACTGGCAACGCCTGGGGGTACCAGAGCAACAGGAAAGTAAGCCATTTGGCAGAGAAGATTTGGCAAATTTTTAATGTGCGCAGTACACAAACTCATCTCCACACATGCATGTTCCTTACAAATGTGGCACCATTTAAAAGGGAAATTAACAGGCTTTGCAATGGTATAACTTTTATTGCCAAGAAGCATTGTTACAACAAAGAAATAATCTATAAATTTCCTTACTCTTTGTCTTCCACATCCTTAAGATACCGAACTCCAGAACAGACACATGTCAGACGCATAAAACGTTGGGGTACATCCTCACAGTGTCTAATTGAGCAGGTGTGCTATAGGGTTCTTGATAACGTCAAACAGCAAACAATGYTAAAATTCATGGGCATGTATTACTACACCTCCCACATACCACCCATGAAATCAATGAGTTGGTGCTGGAAATGCATTTCATTTAACAGTTAGGCTCGGGCTGTGCAAGCTCTTAATTTTTTCCCCATCACATCTCAGACCCCAAGTGAGACTAAAATTACTTATTGATGTGTGACCCAAGCACATTAAATTACACTTGTACCCATCATCTCACATCCACTGGAATGAAAGTGTTTTTATTTTGCTACAAAATTGAGTCACTGACATATTGACACTCAGGCTATATAGTTTTCACAAATAAAAGAAAGAAAGAAAAAAAAGCCAACAGTGCACTTGGGAGTCTGGAAATGGCAAAGTCTGAATTTTTGGCTCCTGCTGTCAGTTTCTGGAACACTTATTGACGTACCCATCTCCAAATTTAGCTGAAAATGGAGTGCATACTGCTGCGCTTTTAGATAGTTGTAAACAGGAAAAGAAAAGCTTGTTTTTATAAACTCGTATCATGTGATAAATCCAGCGGGGGAAGTACTTTTTCAGTCTGGGGCAGAACTGTTGACGTGCAACAAAACAAGCCTGCAAAGTTTAATAAAGTCGATGTAAAACTTTAAAGACAATGCTGACTTCAGTTTAAAAAAAGAGCCTATTCAGTTACAATAGCCATTTCCATAACATCAAACTAACTTAATGCTGTCTGGATTAAAGCCAAGGAGACATAAGGAATCCTCAGCAAGTGAAACAGAAAAATGGGATTAAGCTTTTTAGCTGCTGAAGAAAGTCAGAATAAAAAAACAAAGCTTGCAGTTCAAAGCTGGCTCTGTTTGTGATACGATATCGTATTGAAGAGCACAAAAGAGTCGCATCAAAGGGCACTGCCTGGAGACAGAACATCTCTAACATTCCCCCAAAGAAAACCTTTCAGCCCTTTTCTTCGGCTTTGCTGAAAAAACCTTCATTAACAGGCTACAGCTATGTAGTGATCCGAAAAGATGACAGTCGTAACTGCAGCTAGATGAGATGAAAAATTAAAGAAAACCTCCAAATATACAACCCCAATGGAGAACAATGAAACTGTTTTCACAAAGTCTCATCAATGTTTAAAAGATGTAATTTACTGTAGGGCAGAAATTACCAGGAGGATGATGGATTCCTGCTTCCAGGAAATAAAGCAGTTGGGCTGTGATGCTAAAATGGGAAGGTATAACTGTTAGGGAGAAAAATGATTGAAATAATGACTGTATAAATCGCTCATATTCTGATATTTATGACTCGGAGATTTAACATGTGGTCTTCTTTTGCACAGATGAACCGCCATGACCACTGAGAGCTGCAGTGAAGGACATTGATTATCTCATTACTGTGGCTCCTGGCAGTGGGTGGGATAAATTAGGCAGCAAGAGAACACTGTGTTCTTAAAGATGATGTGTTGGAAGCAGAAAAAAAGAGGGAATGGGTAGGGATTTGAGAGTCTGTGACAAAGGTCTAATTGTGAATTCAAAATGGGGGTGTCAGAGCATCTCCATAACTGCAGCTTTGTGGGATGTTACTAATCCGCTGTTGTCTGCAAAGTGAAAAAAAGAAACATGTAACAACTTCATAGATATCTAAAACTCTAAACGCTTCTGCTGACCTGTATTTACTGGCAATATGAATATCACAATTAAGAAACACTAAAGATGGGAAAAAATAGGCTTGTTGTGATGAAACACATTTATTATAAAGTTATTTACAGGAGACCAAATGGACCATGATGCTGGCAGACTACACTGGTATTGGTAGTGAGAGTGAGGAGAAGGTGGAAGAGAGTCTAGAGATGTTGAAGGYGTGRAAATAAAAAGAATTAARGTGTGAAGGAAATTTTGTGAMTGATTAACAGAATTTGAGATCTAGTCTAGTATTTTAGACTTTGTGATCATTTAGTTTAAACAGGAGTGCAGAGTCAGTGTGTCTTATCAATGTGTTCCTTCTGTCTGTAATAAAAACAAAGTTGGTTACGTTTTAATGTATGACGTAAAAGGTACCGCCTCCTAGGGTGTGGCCAAGAATTCTTCTCTTACAGCAGCCTGGGACAGACACTACTTCTGAGAATGTGTTATTGTTTTGGTTCTGATAAGGCCAAGGCCTTTTTTYACTCTCAGGCCTGCTGCYATGTGACTGTGGGTTGTATGGAGTCATATTTGAATAAACCTTCTAAATGAGAATCACCTGGTTTTCTGCCATTTTATTCCAACTCCAATTTAYTGAATGGAATTTTTCTACAGATCAATAAAAGAAATACAGGGTGTATGGGTCTGAATGTGATTACRATAGGGGCAACAGCAAAACTACGAGGAGTCAAGGTACAGATGAATTTTAGTACCTGGGKTAAACCATTCCAAGCAACAGGCAGAGCACAAGTGAGGCTAAGAAGAGAGTGGCAGCAGGGTGGAGTAAATGGAGACAAGTGTCCGGGGTGATTCATGACACAAGACAGGCTGGGAAGGTTTACAGGATGTGGRGATGAAACCTGATATTATGTATAGTCTGGAGTTGGTGAATCTAGCAAAAAGACAGGAGACAGAACTGGAGCTGGCAGAGATGAACATGTTAGGGCACCGGTGTCAAACTGAAGACATTTTATGTGACCCTTCAGAGCTTCAAAGAGAAATTACTTTCCCAATATAAGCATATGCTGCTTAAAAGCCAGCATTGACCATTACTTTATCAACAAAATGACAGCTCCCCACTGTCAMAAGGTTCAAAAGTGGCCAGTAGCTGGAAGCTGGTGAAATTCACTGTATAAAATCTCCMTTTAACTGTATTTTTATTGGCTACTTTTGCTACAACCCAGTTGGAWATTTCCCACTTACAAGTCATAAAATTAAACTGGAACGCCCCTCCAGTGTTGGTAAATKAGAGAGTTCAGAATTCAAGTCAGCAGCTCATCACCACAACTAGAAATGACTCAGCCTGTGACTGAAAATATAGATGTAGGACAACAGAGCTGCTTCATGGAAGAAGAACCTCAGCTTAGCCTGTTAGCATTAGCATTAACCCCGACGCTATCACCATATATATGTATTAGCTCAGTGCTACATATTCTCCTCTCGTCACTGAGCTCCTCCATCCACATGACAGAGAGGGAAACACAAAAATGACTCAGACTGCAACTGAAAATATGGATGGAGGACCTCAGTTTAGCTTGTTTGTAGCGTTAGCGTTGAGCTAATACATATAAGGCAATATAGCGTCGGCTACAGTATATTGTAAATATATTTTTAAAATTTACAAAACTGAACATCCTACAGTATTTTACAGTCTTTATTTTACTGTTAAAATATATGTTTATCAAAAAAAGTCTAATGTTACAACTAATCAGGGATCCCTTTAAACNGTTAAAATATATGTTTATCAAAAAAAGTCTAATGTTACAACTAATCAGGGATCCCTTTAAACCATTCAAAAACATGTTTTTACTTTAATAGTATTTCTATATTATTTATTTCACAAGTACATGCAGTACTTTTCAGYRTTTATGTCAAAACGCTGTTTCTGTGCRCTTTAATACCAGGTAGAGCYCAGTTATMGTTTGTTAGCGGTGAACATCTGTAGCAATGAGACAAGGAATATGATGTTGCGTGTTTAGTTGAAGTTAAACATGAAACATTGAATTATTACAACCAGTCTTTTGAGGCCAACCCTAATGCTCATGCGGCCCTCAGTGAAAATGAGTTTGACACTCATGTGTTGAGGGTTTTGTTGGGAGTGATCAAACTGGACAAAATAAGAAATGCRTACATCAGAGGGCCAGTTTAGGTTGGTTTGAAGATAGAGTAAGAGCTGCAAGGCTGAGATGGCTTCGACGTGTGCACAGGAGGGACAGTGAATTCAGTGATCAAAGGATGCTGAATATGGAACTGCCAGGTGGGAGGAAAAGATGAACCATGGAGGAGGTTCATGGATGTACTGAAGATGGATAAAGTGTTGGTGTGAGTAAGGAAAGCAGTCACTGAGCCAAGTTGGTCACTGTACAGTAGGTGTAAAGTGGAGGGGGGAGYCCTCTGCTCCAACCAACAACTGATATGCTTCACCGGTTCTTCACTGGTCCTGCAAAGCCGGCTCCATGTGCACACGCACACATTGTCACAGAACTTGGCTTGCTTGATTAGTTTATGTGAGGAGAAGCAAAACTAAAGAGGGGATCATGTCTGCGACCACATAACTGAACCACAATGTGAAAGGAGCTTCTTGCCTCTTAATTCTTCAAATCTGAACTCAATCCAGGAGCTGTGGGATGTGCTGAACAAACAATCCAATCCATAGTGGGCACAACATGCAAATTACAGAACTTAAAAGGATTTTCCACTGATGACCTGGTGCCAGATATCACAGCAAGGATCTAATGCAGGGGTGGACATTCCTAGTCCTCAATGGCCACTATTCCACGTTTTACTTATTTCTCTGCTATAACAAACCTAATGCAGTGATTGAATTACCTCTTGGTTGGAGAACAGAAGTAAGTAAGGCARGATAGTGGCCCTCCAGGACCTGGATTACCCACCCCTGGTCTAACACCTTGGACGAGACTCTTGGAACTGTAGTGCACTTATGTGGTCATAATGTTATGGCTGATCACTGCAGAAGGGTTTCACAATTAAGAAATTAATTTACAAAGTTTGACTTGATTTACTGATTTATTGATTCAACGGGAAAAGATAACTAAAAATCAAGCCTGACTCAGCATAATTACTGTTTTACTTTCTATAGTAAATACATTTACAACGATGTAGGAGTGCAGCAAATCTGTCTGACATTTAATCTGAAACAAAGGCAATAAAACATATTGAAGGGGCTCAGGTTCTATCCACTATAAAGGACTCGTTTATACCAGTATTAAATTAAAGCCTCCAATTACCCAGTAAATACCTAATCACACAGAGCACATCACTGGAGACATCTTATCAGAATGACTGGCTGACCAGTAATTTTATTAACGGTGTCTAGGCTCTGACATGCTGCCAAGTGACAGCAGAAAGCTAATGCGGTAATTAACTTTAACTGATACTAAAAGCCATGCTCTATGCCTCCATCTTTTAATTTTACACGTGACGGCCATCATAGCGACTCACCACTGAGCATGGAAGATGCCATAGAAGGTGGTCCCTCGCCAATCCTGCCCCGGCAGGGTGAAGACGGCCCGCAGGTTGTTGAAGGAGACGTGGCGTTCTGGGAGGGAACACTCCAGCCGGGCTTTTTGGAAGGTGGTCCACTTCTTCTGCAGGGTCCTGGTGCCACCCAGGTCGCCCTGAAAGAAGCCAGATCAGTTCAACATCGTTGTCATCCTTTGTTTTCCAACCCGTACTTCAGCTTTATTAGGATTTAATGTTGCTAACTCTGTTTGATGCAATTTAGAATCTTGCTAATTATTTAATAAAGACTCACACAGACACACAAGTAACACTGTGGTGTTTCATTTATATAATAATATACAACTAAAAAAAAATCTAACTATTTCAGTTGGTTTACCCTTTCTTAAACTAAACAAACTTCTGAAATATGCCAAAGTAACTGCAGCAGAGTTGCTAACGCTAAAAAAAGAACACTAGTTAAAATATAAAGGAAGAAAAGTGCTAGCTATATTTACACAGTAACATTAGCTAAAKGCTAAAAGTATCACAAAGCTAAATAAATTCTAAAAAAAAGCAAAAGACTAAACAAAATCTTCAAAGTGTTAGCTGAAGGCTAAAAGAAGCAAAATATTATTTACAAGCTAAAGTATCAAAAATGTAGCATACACTTACAACATAAAAGTAGCAAAAAGTTAAAATATAAAAGGAGCACAAAATGACAAAAATAGAGCAAGAATGCCAAAAGACCACTTTAAGAATCAACTGTTGAAAATATTAGGTTACAAAGATTTGCAAAAACCAAAAGTTAGCACCTCTCTCCTATATCAGAAGAAAGTTTCTGGTGTATGAATAGCTAAAAAAAAAAAACTTAGCATATGCAGAACTAGTATGTAAGAAAAAAATGGATTGAAAAAAAAAACTTGAAAAACATGAAAACTATAATCTTAATGCTGAATCAGCATTCACACATAATATCATTCATCACAGTGGAAGCACCAACACGCTGAACCCGGCAGGGTAAAATACGAGCAGCTAAAATAAAAWTGGATATTTCACAGATTAACCATCACAACCTGCTGCAAACTAAACATGGCTGACCTGAAGACTTTAAACTCAGTTCTTTTTGTTCTCTTCCTGAAAGCTAGTCATATTTCACACATTTARCTGGCCTCACCTTCACCCCTTAAATGAAATATATAACCATCTTTATGTTCACTCTTTATCTGCTCGGTTATAAATTTGTTCAATGTGCCCTTGCTAAACGAACTGTTGTAATTTGGTGAAAGGCTCTTAGGTTCATTTAGACTCTGATATGTTCGAGTTTGAGATGAAAGAGAGAGAGAAAAAAAAGGAAAAATAATGAAATCCAATTATCCAACAAAATGTAGGTGCCTTATTGTATTCTCCTGTGTGTTCAAAGGGGGCCTTATTTGGCTGATTCCTCCTCCTGCTATCATCAGTGGTCACAGCTGCTGGGAAAGGTGAAAATGTGTTTCACCATCAGTGCTGCTGCTACAATCTACATCATTAGTGGGCGTTGAGAGTGGGCATCTGTTTGTGAAATACTTCAAGGAGTTTCACTGACCATCACAATGCAGATATAAAAGGACACTTAATAAGATGCGTCTCCACAAACACAGCAAACAGCTCCTCTGTTGTGTGGCCCTAATGACCCAGTCAGTTGTCTTAATGAGGCCATTTATTTAACGAATTAATAATTAATTACCAGATATATCTATGTCATTTTAATTGTCTCCCTGTAACAAAGCATCAGTAAATAAGCAATAAGCTGAGTTTGTGTTTTTCCAAGACCGGTGGGTCAAAATGATTTAAAAAAGCAGMTTTTTTCTTAATGCGAGCAATTCCCCTGCCTTCTATTTTAAAATGAACATAAACAAGCATTTGTTCAGTCATTCTTTTTCTGTCATCCTTAAGAACGTGTGCATATGATGGATGAACAGAGCTGTCTGTACGTTCGATTTCAAATTATTTCATGGCTTGATGGGAAATTATTTATATCCTGCTGCGGCAAAGAACATGCCTTAAACATTAAAGCCTTAACGTGAGGAATGGAAATGGTCTCTTTTTGTATTATTGCTATATTTTTATAGCATTTATTCAACTAAAGAGACTACAAATGCAAAGCTTTGAGTCTCACCTTCTCCCCAAACATAATCATGGTGTCACATGACCTTTCTTTTAAGAGTTAAAGAAGTAATTACAGCTAAACGTAGTTTTAAAAATTGCACATTTCAAAAACAGGAGCACAATAGGAACTATGTGAAGCAATATGAGCGAACACTWGAAAAAAATAAAAAAAGCTGTGAGGAGTATTTTTTTTATTCTACCAAGGACGAGGCAGCTTCACCAGACAATTTCTTTATTAAAGTTTTTCAGTGTCGATTCAGCTCCTGTCAACCGTGTCTGCTTTTTTTTTTTTTTGGTCCAACTCAACACAACAGTTTCCATTGTGATTAATCCGATTTTACTCCACTTATTCAGCTGGTAAATCTTTTGCCAGTTGCTCCCTTGTATGGGCGTCACCTGCTGAAGCCCTAAATGCTGCCTCGCATTATTAGGCTCTCAGGAGCAGCTGCCAACACAGCTGGAGAAAACAGGAAACAGCTGATTCGCTGCCATGTGTGCGCSAAACCCTGGTTTTTACAGTTGAATCTGTCCCCACGCTCGCATGTTTCCATGAATCTATGTCCCCGCCCCCATTAATAACCTCCAACGAGCACACAGCAGGGATGCATGGGACGGAGGCAGCAGGAGACATGCTAATTGAATCAGCTCGGAGATTTGTTCTGATTCTCATCTGCTGTGTTACCTTGCAGACACGGGCCACTCTGGCCACTGTGAGCTCCGTGTCGCAGTCCAGCTCCAGCGCTCGCTCGCTGAAGAAGAAGTAGATCTTATCGTCGTCGCCGTCTTTGCTGCCGCTGCTCTCCCTCACCAGGGCTGAACCCACAAAGTCTGGCTCTGCGCACACACACACACACACAAAATCCAAAAAAGTGTGTTTTTATGCAGTGGTTAAGACATAGATCACAAGTGAACAAAGCGCCTGCAGGAGAGAAATACACCTCTGTCTCCTCCTCTGCTACCCCCGTTCTCACCTCTTTGTCTGCGTTCTTTCATCAGTCTCCTTCGCCTCACCTCTTCACCAGTCATTTCTCACTTTCTTTCTCTCCGCTGCTCACTAATATCGATCCATTTCGGGGGTTTTCTACTTCCTCACCCACAGCTGTCGTTTTCKAAAGTCTCTATATTCGTACCTCATTAGGTTTTAGAAGTTTCTTTTTCAAAGGCAGTTTTAAACTTGAGCTGCTTGGGGGATTTAATATCATTTTGGAGCAAAAATTGTTTTCCTTTTTCATTTGTAATCTCCAGGATTTACTGCCTCCCCTCGTCTTTTCAGTTGAAAAGCCATTATGGAACGCCATAACTCTGTACTGCAACCCAAAGCAGTTGAATGCTTTTAGGCCGGTCAGAACAGCTTAACCCGAGGTGAGTTTGGCTTCACTGCAGGTCTAGTTTTAAACAAAAGCTCAGTATCTGCATGAATAATAAACAGACACATCAGTCCAAACCTCCCGCTCATCTGTATGCTCCTCCTGCCTTCACGTCCTCTCTCCATTCCCCTCACCTCTCCCTCTATCTTTTCATCACCGCTCCTAATGTCTAGTCTTTCGTCACCCATTTTTCCATCCTCTTCTCTCCCCTTCATCTCTTCGGAGTGGCTCACTCCTTCCCACACCTCCTTCCCTCCTAAAGAGAACAATTCTTCACCACAGCTGAGGCGAGAGCTTCAACTCCTGTAAGTTAAACATCTTATATTTGGGCACCTTTCGTGCGTTACCCATGACCAAATCACACAGCCCGACAGAGGGAGGCTTACCACCCCGTTTTCATTTCTCACGCCCCGTTTCCTACTCACCATTGAGCCAGGCCGGCAAGTACTCGCTCTTCATGCTGTAGTGCTGCTGGCCCAGGTTCCTCAGGATGACTGGCTCCGTACCCAGGAAGTTGTTGAGTGTTGCTGAGTACAGCTCCTTATCTGTGCAAAGTGAAAGCTTTCCATTAGTTCTTTTCATTTCATTCATTCATTCATTCATTCATTCATTCATTCATTCATTCATTCATTCATTCATTCATTYATTYATTYATTTATTTATTTATTTATTTATTTATACACATTTATGGAAGCTTACAATAAGTGAAGCCTGGCAGTTCAGCAGGGAGAGGCAACAAAAAGGTCCAGAAATGGGAGCCTGTACACTTCAAAAACATGTCCACCTAACCAAGTTTTAAAACCTTATATCAGCCAAAAAGTCTTTTTAGATCTTGTTTTGAGACTGATTTACTAAACAAGAACTGATTGTGTAAGAATAATAATCTTGTTTTCAGAATGTGTAAGATTATTTGTCTTGTTAGTCGGAAGATTTGACTCAAATTAAGTCAAACATTTCTGCCAATGGAGTAAGAAAATTTTATTTGGTAAGATTCTTGAAATAAGAAAAAAAATGTCAAGAATCTTACCAAGTAAAATTTTCTTACTCCATTGGCAGAAATTTTTGACTTAATTTGAGTCAAACGTTCAGACTAACAAGACAAATAATCCTACACATTCTGAAAACAAGATGATTATTCTTACACAATTAATTCTTGTTTAGTAAATCAGTCTCAAAACAAGATCAAAGAGACTTTTTGGCTGATGTAAGGTTTTAAAACTTGGTAAGATGGACAGTTTTTGCAGTGTAGGCTCAGTAAAGCTGTTCACAATGAAGTGAACGCAACGTGAACAGGAAAAAAAATGGACCTCTGGACTTTCGTTTCTCGTGGCTACAAAACCGATGAGAACATTCAGCAAGAGCCGGTTGGATGGACTTTAGCTGCATCACATGATGTTCTGTGTTGTTCTTGAACATGCACACCTGGCTGTGGGGTTCTTGTTGACAAAGTAAGCAGAAAGGTATTTTTTCTTTTGTAAGAACAAAATGTTCATAACAATAAGTGAGTATTTTACTCTGTACAACAAACAGCTAGTTCTCTTTTAAAACACAYATTGCCTCCAATAAGCCAAACTGTCTTATAATATTTCAAAGTTTTATTGAGCTAAAGTTTTTTCGGAGGGACTTTGTAAAGTTTGGGTTTCAACATGTTGCAGAAAGAATGTAAAAATAAATGTAAACTTTGTCATATGTTTTAGCTGTAACTAATAAAAGGGGATTTATTTTCTTAATTTATTGCTTAGTTCTCTGAGTTAAGCAACACAGATTCATCCCTTGAGCTCTTAAAGGTTCATTTATATCAGTGTAAAAAAACTGAACATGAATGGAAAGCAGCCAGTGTGTAAGAAAAAAAGAATAAAATACATTTTAAAATGCCAGTCTTATTTATTTATTTACTTATATAAAAACCTTGATTATTATCTTTTAAATGTTTGCTGAAAATCCATCCAGTGGTTTTTGAGCTTGATTGATAACAGAGTAAAGTTGTGTAATGTATAAAAGTGTTGTGGATGACTCTCAGCTCTTATCTTACCAAAGTTTTGCTCAACATCTGTAAGAACATCTGGGTTTTAACAAAATGTTTCAACCATCAAATGGCTCTTGATTGGGTCGACTCCAAAGGACCGTCCTGCTGCCCTTGGGTCAAATGATCCACAAGACTTCATTGATAAGACTGAGGCCTTGTGGGTAATTATGACCAAAGGGCAGCAGAAAGGGTTAAAGAGTTGTAGTTGTACATCCAATGATTACTTTCTATCTAGTGGGTCACAAGAAATTTTGATAAAACACTGATATGGTTGATAAAAATGGTTAATAGCCAGGTTTTACAAAAATATATCATTCAAACAGTTATTTCTTGGAATATAACCACACCAAATTTTAGCTCAATAATTGTACAACTGGCTGTGTTGTTGCCATTTTTCTGATTTTATGGTTGCATTAGTGTCAGCTATCGTGAATGGGATTGACTTCAAAAAGTAATCAGTTGTAGATGTAGCTGAGTATTTCTTTATTTTTGTCCAAAGTTTCATTAAATRTTTAACTAATAGAAACAAACACACACACACGTGTGCACACACAGACATGAGCAAAAACAACAAAGCTCTTCTGCCTTCAGTGGGAGGCAGTAAAATGAGGGGCGACTCAAGACTTTTACACAGTACTGTCCATTAATGTTTATACATACCCACTATGAGACCAGTGTGGCCCTTGGCGGGGTCATAGGGACATTTGCCTTTCCCATCCTCCAGAACAGCGGGGTTAAGAGAAAAGTCATCTCCTTTCTGCAAGAACACACAAGTTCACCCACAGAGAGAAGATGAGGAACACAGCTGCTTCATGGTCACTTTGGATTATGACCCACATGACAGAGCTGCAAGCTCTGTCTGTTTGTTACAACAGCCCCCCGCCTCACTGTCTTATTGCATCAGTGTAACATGTATATCCACAGACACATGCACACACACAAGTTTGCATTTATAGCCTTATTAGGACCATGTATTGATTTCCATTCATTTCTATAGCTTTACCCTAAACCTAACCACCCCAGTGACACAACAAACCCAAACACAATTCACACCTTTAGTCCTAAACTCTAATCCATCAATGGCGTTCTACCATATAGGACCGGCTCTTGGTCCCGAAAAGGACTAATGGTCCTGACAAGGTAGGTGTTTATACCTGAAAAGATCCTAGAAAGGTTAAAAAAAACACAGGTGCAAACACACACACACACGCACGCACGCACGCACGCACACACACACAATCATTTTCTATTGCATTTATTTTCATTTTGTCACACAGCCAGTCTTCGCCCCCAGGTCTGATGTTTCAAATTGACACCTGTCAGCACCGACTCACCATGACTCCATCCACACACACACACACGCACGCACGCACGCACGCACGCACGCACGCACACACAGCACACGCATGCATGAATACTTACAATGTAAGTGCATTTGGGCTGGAAGGCGTAGGTGCCACAGGTGTAGAGGTGTGTGTGGTTGTAGCTCTGCAGGAACCGAATGTAGTTGAAGCACTCAGTCTGTGACGGCACAAAGAGGCAACTCTTAGAACGTGGATCCAAAAGACCACTGGAAAGATTTCTGAAGGCCGACTTAATGACTGACATTTGTTTAGAAAAACTAAAATGACAAAATAGCCAGTTAAAATAGAAAAACAGACGCTAAAGCTAAATTTAGCAAAAGAAAAGCTAAAGTAGCTAAACAAATGCTAAAATAAACAAAACTGTAAAATGATGAAAATGGATGCTAATGGCCAAACATTGACTAAAAATAGAAAAACAGAAGGTAAAGCAAAAATCAACTAAACGGCTACAATTTGCAAAGCTAAATAAAGAATAAAAAGTAGAATGGCAACTAAAATTTATTCTTACCAAAATGGTATCTAATGTTTAAGAGTACCAGAATGGTAGCTGGAATGCAAAAGTAGCAAAACAGTAGCTAAAAGAAGAACAAGAAGATATAAAATAAAGCAAGTATGCTGAAGCAGATTTTGAAAGAAACAATATTTTTGAAGTAACTGAAGAAACCTTAATATCTTGTAACATATAAAATATTTGTCAATAAAGTTATATAATTTGAATTTTTTGGGGAAATTTTATTTTAATTCATGCTGAATACTTTAAAAAGTATATAAAAAAACAAAAAACAAAAGTTAGAGCACATTATTCTTGATTAAGCTTAATGTTTCGATATTTGTTAAAATAGCTCAAAGCATCTGTGAGTAGTTTGATCAGAAAAATCACACTAATGAAAGTCTAAAGAGGTAATAATGTGAACAACAAAGAAAAACTTTCTTTTCTGATAACCTGAGAACATGAGAATGTTTTTTTTATGCTCACATGATGGCTGAATGAACTCTTAAAAATCACTAGATCATATTTTGAGATAAGTGTTTTTTTTCTACATTAGAAAGTTTAACATTCCCATTTATTTCCATGTGCCGTCAGGACCGGCACAGGCTTTCTGCCTCCTATTGATCRCATCACTTAACAGACGACATTGTGACAAACGAGCTAAATAATCTAAACTGAACAAGAAAAGTGGCAGACAGTTCCAGGAATAATTAACGTAATAATTTATGCAGTGTTTTATGAGAAGTGCCCTTTAATGTCTGTGCTGTGATGAAGAACGGGGCTCTTCGAATGGAAATGGAAACAGACGCTCAGACGCTCAGACGTGATGCGTACTTGTGGAATGAATAATTCAGTGCATCTAGTTAATATTACCACAGTGATAGCAGGCATACATTTCAACATGTAGAGTTACTAGTAAATAAAGAGTACAAGTGTATTCTATGTAACGTTACACTATTTAAAAAGCTATTTTTTTGTATTCGACTACACCCTCTTTGTACACTACAGCATTTCTTTTAAAGCTCCCAACTTTTTAGGAACCTGTTCTGTAGAGCTGCTCTCCTTTAGCTGAAAGCAACATCAAAAGTTACTGTTGTGCATTTRGAGCAGACGCTCTGTGAGTTTCTATAAAATATTTACTCTGGACATCTTGCACATGGGCAGCTTGCAAGCGAAGCAGATGGAGGATCTCGCTGAGGCGTAAGTGCAGAGTTGGCTGGAGTCACTCTCCTGTCTGTGTTTGCTGATGTACCACAGCTGAGGGTGAGAGTTGGAAGATACGAAACCCTAATTTATTGTCCTCCGCTGCCAAAAATAAAAGCCAGGTGATCGTGGATTTTATGTGTCTTTGTGTATGTGTGTGCGTTTATTTGTCTGTTAGCAAAATATCTCATCACCCAGTGGGAGGTTTTTGTTAAAACTCTCAGAAAGCTCTGTTTGAATCTACRTCTAAAACTGAATAACCGTTGGAGTTTATCCAACTGAAAACGGCCAACACAACTAATCAGCCTAAGCAACCACAAAATGGCTAAAACTCCATTAACTTTACAGATGTTGAGCTAAAATKGGGTGTGGTGATAGCAGAGAGTCATTAACAACATAAGCACTAACAGATTGCTTTAATCTTAAACAAATGTCCAGATGAGTAGRACATACTTTGGCATAATCTGAGTGGTATTTATGTCACAGTTTACAGCTTCAGTTTTATGATGTAAAATCACCTAAAATAAGACCAACAATTGAGTTCATATTCTGATATTAAAGCTTCTTTAACTTTTTTGTTGCTCTCTATATAATGCACAAACTCTGTTTTATTTATTTTTTTACATTTACAGTAACGTGTAAGTGTGTGATAAGTGTTGAATATAAAGACCCTTCATCTGTTTACTGTAGTGTCACTAAAACCTTCCTCACCATCAACCACTTAATT